TCTTACAAAACTACTTGTACGTGAACAAGTATCCAACAAGTAAAATAAAATTTCTGTCACGCTGCCAGCGAAACAAATAAGTTGTCGGAGCTAGTAGGCTTAGCACCCCAGGAACGTGACAAATTCTTTTTTTTTCGCGTGGTACTCTAACTTTGTTTTCCATCAGTTGCGTAGAATTCTCAAGGTAATACTGAAACCACGGAAGAACATAAAATTAAGCATTAAAGAGAGGGAAAACGACGTGAACTAAGAAAAATATTTATGAAGGACGTTCGCTCATTTTTGCGAAGCCTGTTACGCCTGTCGAAGTCTCGAACATAGTGGATAGAGTGGGCGGGCGGGGAGATGTACACCAATGAACGAATGCTAAACCTACGAGGACAACGCAAAAAAACCACAAAACACTACTATCCGACGAGAGGGCTCTGGGGCTGTCCGCCCCTGCAATGCCATTTAGTCGACAATGTTTACGCCTCTTTCGGAATGTTGTCGGCTGCCCCTCTTTTTAGCAATGCTATGCGCGAACGAACAGTGAGAGAGAAGGGGGGAGCGAGAGAGACGGCGAGTCCAACGCGCCGCACACACGTGAGTTTCGGGCACCTGGCTTCTCTAATTTTAAAATGGTCCCGGCACGCTCCGGTACGCTCAGCCACGCCCCACGCGTGGCAGAAATGCCCGTGCATTTTTCATTCCCGCGTATCCCCAGTCTCCCTTTCTTTCTCTCTCACTCTCTATTCCTCTCTCGCTTGCTGTGTGAGCGAGACAGGAAGAACTCGACAGGCAGCATAGGCCACGGGAGGGGCGTTCCAACTAGCAGGTAATCTAGCTTTAACCAGGCCCAGTCCTGCTCGGCGCCGGTGTTAACTTGCAGCAGCTGGTGCATATTTAGGCGACACTTTCAACAGTCCTGAATTAATTGGCTGAGCTTGCGAAGCCTTTGCTGTGATGTGGGGTGCAGAGAACTCTTTGGTCGTGTGTCTGTCTGTCTGTCTGTCTGTACTGGCCCACGTTTCTCTCAGACGGTAACTTCAATTGACTTCAAACTGCGCACGAAGCTTCAGTATAAGTCGAGACGCAATGAGTTTAGTTTAGAAGTTTGATATAAGATGTTTGAAATAAACGATCGTTTAATTTGAATTCGTAGTTTGGTGGCGGTAGGTTGTTAGCACGGCGCTCGAGGGGAGAGGGAGCGCAAGTGGCTCCTGCGCTCACCTGAAGACTTCAATACCTTCTCAGCAGTGATTAAAATGACAGATAGTCAAACCGAGTGTTTTAGTTTTAGTTTTAAAGTTGCGGAACTTAGCCTGCGAAGTTTCGCGAGTGTCCGATGAGAAGGAACGAAAGTGATATTTGGAATGGTTTACGTGTTTACTTACGTAAGTTGGAGGGGGCGGGGGTAGTGGTGGGAGAATTGTGCAAAGGTCACTATGGTTTCGGGTTCATCTTGACAAAAGAAAACGAAAATGTTTTATGCTCAAAGACGATCGGAATTGAAATGGCAGAGTTATGTTCAAATGTTCAATAAAGTGTTCAATCGCCCCCAGCGGCCAAACAGTGCGTCGGAGGTCAATTCTGACGGCAGTTTTCGCCCTCAACCCGAAGGGTTGGAGGGTTTTATCTCGCCGAGACGAACAAAACGCATCCCTCGAACGTTCAATTTGAACCAATTTGGCCATGGCAATCCGCCCATCGTTATTTGAGGGCTAATAACTTCTCCATTTCGACTCAGATCGGCTCTGAGCATAAGACATTTCCCTTTTAATTTTACAAGAGGAATCTTAATCTGGGATAACATTTTTAATTTGATGACTTTTTAAAAATCCAGATACTTCATTGGAAGACAAAATAAGGGTTTTCACTCGTAGAATGACTAGAAGTCATTTCATCGTACAAAAAGACATCTTGAAGGTTTCTTAAACTTACAACTTATTTTCTTAACAGCAATGTACTTGCAAGACACCGAACAATATTAGAGCCACAGTCGCAACTTAGTGTAGGATAAGCCGTTCAAAAGCAGAACAAGATATATGATTCTCTTATGTTGACTAGATTTTACTAGAGCCAAATTATTTCTAATGATACTGAAATAAAATGATGAGAGAATTTAAATTACATTCTATGATAAGATATATTACAGAACTTTCAATTAATAAACTACAATGACTCGTTATCTTCAAAACGCCTCAGAGGGATCAGGTAAAAGTGAATCGAAGAATGAAAAATTATATTTTGAGTATGGGAGGTGTTTCAATATTATTTTATATAATTTCACTTCACGCAGAGGCAAGTGAGGGTATTGAATAGAATATTTTTAGCTGATTGTGACAAGGGTTTGCCATACCCAGAGTTATACGATATTTGTTTGTGCTACTGTTTGTTACATTGTAAGTTGAATCTGCTAACAACATTCATTTGTAGAAGTCAAAAGTCATCACACTCCCACTTCCAATTACTGAGAACTAAAAATGACATCGGAAAATCTAAAACCAAACTTGTTTTGGTCATATTTAAATTTTCCAGTGCCCCCCCCCCCTCTTTCCTGTTCTTCCCTGGCCTCCCATCTGTACACTACTATTACTATATTCCTTTAACCGTCACATTTGAGAATTTTAGCATACGAACGACTAAAGCTCAGCCACTACGGGCTGCTGCACGTACTCCTACGTTAAAAACAGTGCACACTATGTACTATCCTAGTTGTGGTAGGCGTAAGCTGCTTACCGTAAAAAGGCCAATACAGCAAAATCGGAAAATTCCACTTCGGCGAAATATGAACAAGCAGCACGGCAACAAGAATGTCGTGAAATCCGAGGATACTTCTTGGATTACAAGGTTGGGTGGATAATTTCGAGATCAGCCCTTGAAATGCCAGACTCCGTTTGAAACGCGCAGCTTCCAAAGTAATTCTTTAGAATTTTCCACCCAACCTTGAAATCCAAGAAATTTCCTCGGTTTTCAAGACATTCTCCTTACTGTGAGTTGGCTGCTCCTTTCAAAGAAACACACTCTTTCTTTCATAACCAAGAAAAGGTTGTCAATGTTCTCACAGTAAATATATTTTAACAAAAGAACATTACTTTCTTAATCGTTCCTTGTATTAGTTTTAAAAATCTAGTTTTTTCAACAGACTTTCTTTGTTCCACTATCTAGGACTTGGGATGGGCAGTCGAAAACCTGCCTGTATATTCTACTATCCTTTTCCTCTCTCTTTTTCCACCGCATACCCATACACATACCCACACACAACTCACACACACTCATCGCTGTCCTCTTTTTGCAATGGGGCGGCAAATATTATACAGGCATAGCGGACGTGGGTGCAACGTCCCAAGCAGGGACTTTCGCTCTTCCGAATAAATCAACGACCGCACTCACCACTCTTTGCTCACGTCAGCAGCCCACCAACCCATTCAAAATCAGATAGCAAAACCTCCCAAAACATATATGCCTAATTTCTACGTAGTATATTGCAAAAAGTTAAATTTTCATTGGTTTATTTAACACATTTTAAAAAAGAATAGAAAGATATTTTTCAAAATACTACACTCTTAGAAAGATCTCTCGAATTTCACGTCTCAATAGGGGTGTTGAGTGAAAATTCCGGGCGAAAATGAAAGACGACTACTTGAACGATGAAAGAAATCCAAGAAACATATCGGCTTCTCATAAGAACGCGTCTTATAAGGATATGCAACTTGAAACAACGAATGTAGCAAACAAACTCCCCGGGGAATACCCCAAGGCGATTGTAGGCGATCTTCGGGAAATCATAACAAATTTTCACCAGTGCACCAAAGGGGTACAAACTCTCCGCATTGCAGTTGTTTGTTTTTTTTCCAAGCCCGGTTTGATAGTTGTAATAGGTAACGGCGGTTGGAGCATTACATGTCCCTGTCTCCGTGGTACGTGATGACGTCTAATTAAATTTTGTATGGCCGAATAACTTCAATTCTATGTGGGGGAAGGGCTAAAAAGGATGAAGTTCCAAAAGGAGTAAAAGTCTTGCGAACAAGATTTTACAGACGATGACTACACGAACGGCCTTTTATCAATTTATGGGGCAGCAGTAGGAACCATATCTTTGGAGTGTCACATAGAAGTTTGGACCACGTATTTTTTAAAGCGAAGACCTTTCCTAAAGTTTGTATGCCACAATAAATTTAACACAGCAACAAATTAAACTGTGTTTAGCTCTGTAGCATTATTTTTTTCCTTGACCTTGGCAGTAGAGGTAGCAGTGGCAGCTGCAAACAGCCAGGCAGGCACATTTTTATACTAATTTCCTGCACATGCATTTATGCAGGTCAACGGTTCAGAGAGTCCGGCCAGCATCCCTCCCCTCTCCCGCTCGCAGTCGGCTCCGGAGGGATACTGGTTTCCGGCTCCGGCCCAGCTTCAGGTTCCGGGATCCTAGTCGCGCAGCCCGGCGGAGCCCTCCCCTCCGTGACGCGGGGCCGGTCACGGCTGCCAGCACGCGCGCTCGCCGAGGCACTCGCCGCCCGCCGTGAAATGAGACAATCAGGACTGGCCAGGTGCGGAAACGGGCGAGGCGAAGGATTTCCTACTTGCCATACCCGCCGGTATACTCACCACTGTGAAAAATATTTTTGCAAATTAACAATGGTCTTTATGATTTTGTTAACAACCAAAGTTACATTTATAATTTAAAATTTGAGTTTTACGAATAAGTTCTTAACTTGCTACATTTGTCATACAGATGTTTCTTATCAAGTAACTACATCCGAGGAGGTAATCACAAACAATCTACTCCCCGAAATTGCACGGATTTTACTATTAGGACCCAGCCTAGACAAAGCGACCCATCTCCCTTCCTTTAACACGACGCCCCGCAGACGCTAAGCTGAAGATATATTGTGGCTACAACACAGCGAAAGAATAGTTCTGAAGTGTTTTATAATGTCGATATTTCAGGACGAAGCACTTGACACAACACAAAAAGCTTGAAATTGATTCGTTTCTTTTGTTTTTATATGTTGCAGGTCACGCGTACCGGACACGCAAAATGGTCTGTTTGCTGAAATAGAAATGGACCTTTGTAAATTCCGCAAAATGTTTGCGCTTACTATAGCTGCTGTCTTTTACTAATATGGTATCAGAAAAAAAAAAATAGAAATTTTTTTGCTGTTCTATATTACTGGAACAGCAAGCAGTTTGCTAAATTTTTATTCCAGCAAACACACCATTTTGCGTGAAGAACAGAAGCCAACAACAACCAATACGGTTGCTCAACGTGGAATGAAAGCCATAATCGAACTTTCTAATGGACATTTTACGATAGTCTAGCAGAAATCTGAGCCTTCAAGGTAGAGTGCCTCCCCTGCTCTCGTCGTCACCCCGCACCCTGGCGACACGCCCCAACCGCCGGCAGACACCCCCGAGGCCCCTCCGCCCCGCCCGCCCCCTTGCGGCGAGCCTGGAGCAAGCGGCAAGCTGACCACAGCCCTTAGGGGTGGGCCCCGGCTCGCCCCGCCCCGCTCCGCCTCGCCCCGTCTGCGGCCCCCTTGGGGTCACTTTCTGGTCCGCCGGCCGCACCCCCTTGGCCAGCCCCGGCCGTGCTCGGCTGCATTATTCATACCCACGTCAAGACGGGCCGGCCGGGCGAGCGGTCAGGCGGGGCTGGCAGGCGGGAGGGCGGCCAGCCAGGCAGCAGCCGAGCATTGTGCCACTCGGAGGGAGAGCGGCGCCATGCATGCCGATGATCGCCCTAGAGCTGTGCACATCTTGATCAAACTCATAAAACAAAGTTTACAACTGGTCTGCAACAAAAACTGCACTATGCTATTTTAATAACCTTCGTGAAGAACCTAGTCGAAAATTTTGTAAAATAATAATGAAAAGAGTACTACTACTTCTCTTTTACTTCTGCGACTATAGTAGTTCAATGCAAGTTTGAAAGACATGCTTAACACACAAAGAAAAGAAAAAGGATTGCGAATTGAGGTATGATGTTTGGTTAGATGGCCGATACCCACAGCACTAGGATGGCCAGCTCCGCAGCCTCCGCAGAGTGCACTTCGCTGGACCAATGCCTCACCTCGCCTCTCGGCGAGAACGTCACCAGAGCCGGGCCATCTCATCGGCAAAACGCGGTAGGGCGCCAGAGTGGGAACAAGAGTGGGGGAGAGAGAGAGAGGGGGGGG